TGTGTCTAGCTCAATGGGAAGATATTTTTTCAGATTTTTGTCCAAATGAAGGCCAAATGAAAACAAATTTTAACTTTATGACCTAATTACTCTGAACTTTGTTTTACAAAATCGGCCCGATTCCAACTACTCAAATGCTCATAACTTCCGAACCATGTGACCTAGAAAGAAGATCTTGGTGTCAAAATAACCATAATTGAATGGTCTTTCTGATAAAACTTCTAACTCATAATGTCCGAATTGAGTCCTACAGCATGTTTTAACCTGACAGGCTACATATGATTTAAACAAATTTCACAATTTCGTACACTACTGAGTAAACATCGAACAATAAAGTGTAACATGTGTTATCATAGAAAAGAACTGTTAATGCAGCTGCAGCACAACGTTCGCTTGGCAGTGTACCGGATGTGTATATAAACACTGTGTAAACGTCCTGTGGTGCTACATTCGTTAGAGAAGTTTTTTCGTTTAGATTTTATGAAGAAGTCATCAAAATGTGAAAGTAGCAATACAAATAAGTTGTATAGTGACGTTTTACAACATGGACGAGCTCACAGTAGGTATATCGATTCATCTATGCATATGCACTATGCAACATGCCGTTTTAACGGCTACTAGCAGAAGTGTCGTGTTCACCGGGCATTGATGATGAACGCTAGGTCTTCAGAAGCAAATGTTTACTCACGCATTTATTATATTTTCGTGTTTTCAGTGAAGATATATTTCATTGTTTTGACAAGCCCTTGCGTGAGTAGAGCCCGCTACAGCTATACTTAACTATGTTTCCATAAGTTAGCTTAGTTATCTTTGATTGGTATCTGTCGGCTGTGCTCCTAGCGAGTTCAGGTCTGCCTGCAAAGACCAGAGGTCAAGGTCATTCATTACCCAATTTTCCGGATATTTCGCCGAGTGCTCAATGTTGTGTGTTAGCTGTGGGCATGTGGTGTTCTCAAGTGACTGCCACGCATAACAGCTCCCTAACGCGTACGTCGAAGAAATGTAAACAACCATGTGTAGATGGGCCGCGGTGTGCTCTGCTGCCTCTATCCGTGATGTTTTCCCCTCCTGATGATTTTTGCTATCTCTGCTGTACTATATACTTCTGGCAGCTGTGTCATGTATTGAAACGCGTTGGCAACGTGCCTATACTTACAAGTTTCGCTTCCTCTAACTCCCAGGATCCGCCGTGCATGCTCATCACGGAGCCGAATTCGTCTGTCTCACGTACCTGTGGCGGAGGTGAAGGGCTGCACGGGTGGGCGGGGACTAACTTACCTGTTATGACCTGTGTACTGGCTCGCATTCCTACCAACTGTGCCATCCCCCTCGTGGTTACCGCGGAGGGATTCATTTCGATTGTGCGCATTGTGCGTTGGATGATCGCCGAGAAAGCAGTTTGATTATAAGTACGGGGAGAACATTAGATGATTGTCCCTGCCGCGTATCCGTTGGCGAGCGTGTAAACTGGAATCGCTCTGAAATATGATCGGCGACCTGCATTGAGTGGTTGATGGCTTGAACAAGTGAAGCCCACGTGTGAGTCTGATAGAGACGTGTTGTAACTAACGAGTGCTTCTGATATAGGTGCGTCGCGCATATAGGCGCGTGTTATAAGTGAAACGTGAGTCCTCGTGCACGAGGAAATACTTTGGAGTTATAATTAGTTATAATTTGACACGTCGGAGTATGTGTGTGTGTGCGTGCGTGCGTGCGTGCGTGCGTGCGTGCGTGCTCGCGTGTGTGATTTTTATCAATGGCATTGATTAAATTTTTTTTTTATCTCAGACACTTGTATGATATATATTATATGGTAAACTTTTGCAATAAGGTTAATTGCATAAATAAATTTAGCACTATTATATCAATAAATTTCACACATGTTAAAGCTAGTGGCAACACTAAATTTGTTTTGCAAACAGTACGTAGCATTGCCGATAAAAGTGGTACATATAACTAAAACTAGAAACAAAGACGCGTAGTGCGTTCTGTACAAATTCATTCTTAGATTTGTTGCCTGAGCAATGCTTCGTGCCGGAAATAACACATTTAATTGGCAAAACAAATGTCTTGCCTAAGAAAAAAAACTGACATCTCAAAGCAAGAGGTAATCATAATATGGTAACTGCTTGTCTCTACACAGAATATTTTTGTAAGAACCAACGAATCGTCCTTCGTAAAACACCCTTTGCCTCTTTTGGATTCTGATGTGTGGTATCACACACAGGCAAAAATTTCATTTATACTTATGCCATTAATCAAAATCAAAATGTGTACATATGTATGCGAATAGTATTTACCCACATATAGTAACAGTGTTCACTAATTAGCTCGCATTTTCACATTTTTCTGTGGCCCTGTACCTGAACTAGTACTGCAACAGATTTGCTGGCATACATTCTGTGCCCCTTACAATATATATTTTTAATTTGCCTTACTTTTTAAAATCTGAACGATTATTATTTTATTTTAAACTTGAGCTATAGGGTTGAAACCTCCAAATATCATCTCATTTAAAAATCGGACGAAACGTCATAATAGTTTTAGATTGGTATTTTAAATTATACTAGGAATATATATATATATATATATATATATATATATATATATATATATGGCTTAAATGAAAATAAGCCTACATTGTCTTGCAGTGTCAGAAAATGAAAACGTTATCTATAGGTGCACTTACTGAATCATAGGTAAACTTGTCGCAAAAAGTTGCATTGAAGGCTTCTTGATTTTACTCCTTTCAACCTTTGCTTGTTTATAGTTATTTATCACAAAGGCCCAGCCAGCCGTTTGCAGATAGTAATCGAACTCACGCCTTCTCTGTGGCGTCTCTGCACACGCGGTATTGCACATGAACCATCACGTACTACAACGCTCTAGAATCTAGCTGTTTTAGTGGGTTGGGTGCAGCTGGTGTCTGGGTGTTAATGCTAGCTGCTGAATTAGTGGAGGGAGCCTAACATCCTGAGTGATTATGTCTGGTGCAGCAGCAAACGAGGTGGCTGAGCCTTAAGGTCTTCTCATGAAGGGATTGAGATATTGATTGAAGCACTAATGTGGAATCGATTTCAGTGACTAAACAAAAAGTGATGCCTTTTCATAAATTAAGGCATTTTAATTGTGTGTCAGCTGATGTATCGGTGTTGTAGTAGGCACCCTTTAAAGCAAGGATTTCTCATTTTTTCCCAACCGTTTTTACACATTTTCTCGACCGCTCTGATACCTACCTGTACTCCTTTCATAACACCAAGTGTATATAGTAAGGCTAACTCTTCGTAGAACACTCGCACATCATTACTGTCACCAATATGTGTGCACCGATTTCCATTTGAAGGCAGGATTGTTTACACAAATCGACAAAACTTTTTTGTGCGTGATTTTCGCTCTCGCGAGATGCTGTCGACCGGTACCTTCGCTCTATACTATGTTACCTTTGTCTACATTTCGAGATAGGCACCAGTCTATAAAAAATAGTCGTCACGTAGCTACGTGTACTTGTTTCGGAGGCGAATCTCTCGCTAAGCTTATACTTATGGCATTAGCAGCAGTAACAGTAGTAATCGTTATACTACGACGTTGTTACGAGCATAGTGTTTGATTCGTAGGCTTGCATTCTTTGGGAAATCATTCGATCAATGTTGGGATATATGAAATTAAAAATACAATAAATTATTAAACGTGATGTGATACATATTATAGTATCTTCTATTTATTGCTACATGTAATTGCTTCATGAATATATATGATTTGTTACTATAAATTTAATGTACCAATGCAAGTATATGCTCTCATGCATGCACAGCACATTTTAAGCCTTAATTTCGTATGCATATCATAAATAACAACGTTCTATATATATATATATATATATATATATATATATATATATAAAGTTCTATACAAATACAGACTTTCCCATAGACTAGTTTAAATAACCTATTTTCTTTGTGCTATGACAGTTTAGTGACAGTCGTAGCAAATAGTATTTAACGGATTTAACATTTTTTATTTAACAGTGTAACGTTGATCAGTTATTCCTTGCTAAACTAGTAATAAAAGACCACTGCATGCTTTCCTGGGGGTATAGTCGACCCACGCAGACGTCGACACAAATTCTGGCTTAAAACTATATCTTTTCGTCACCGAAAGAGACAGCAACAGTGCGTTTTTAATTTGCTTTTAAAAAATGGCCAATCAATTTAAAATTGAATATACGTTCATCATTAGAGTACGTAGGCTTCACCTTTAAACTACTCACACGGCCAGTGCATTTTGATGCGTTTCAAACGGATTCCGTGTGACGTTAGGTGCCTTGTGCTTCTCACTTTCTAAGATCTTCAACGTGGTGGATAGCAGATGGGTCGTAGCAATCATTTCGGTAATGTGTTAAAATGGACTAAACTTCGGCACTTTGACGGAGGAGCTAAGCTGCTCGATTGAAGCTTCGCCGGAAGAAGTGAAAATTATCTGCCGCCGAGGACGGTAGGCTGTCGTCGTTTGGCGACGCAGGTCTTGCGTTTAAACCTCATTTCCAAATTGCATTACGTCACGCGCAGCTGATGTTGTTTGCTATTTGTGAGGAACCGGTGTAGCGGCCACGGCAATCATCACCGCCCATGCTTGCTCGTCAATATTGACCCGCACGTCTCTCCATGCGCGGTGTAGGCGAGTCTGTGAAACGCATTTATCTAATGAGAAGTTTAGATAAAGTCACCGCTATCGTCCCAGCTACAGTCTAACGAGAATTGTTAGACTGTAAAAATGACAGCAGCGGTGACGGCAGTGGCTGGCGTAACCAGTGTCAACCTAACTGCAACTGTGTTGGAGTGATGGTGGGTGTCGCTAATACGTGTTGGGTGGGTTGTCATAACATTAAAACAACGTACATCCAGCCTCAAAATCTACGGTTGCTAGAGACGCCCTCCTGATTGCCGTGTAATAGAATGTAATTTTACGTATAGCATGTAATTACAGTCGATAACTGCTCGTAGGCAGGCAGCACAACTGCAAGACCGCAGCGTTCGCGTACCTGCTAGCTCTGCGCGTGAAGCCCCTTCACTTCACATGCAGCCTGTTACTGTCGCGTGAGCATATAGCTGCAACGTACCCGTACAGTGCTGCTGTGTTTGCACAGCGCACGAGCGCAGCTCTCATGTAGCCTACTGAAATTTACACCCATCTCCAAGAAAGGGTCATGGGTTGCACACGACTATGGTGGCCCTGATGGATATCATATCTCTCCAGCTATCAAATCCCGGGCTTTCAGATGCGACCACGCGTAGAGCTGCAGTCGCACAACCGCGTCGGTACCCTACGGTGTATATACCCGCCGCAAGACTGCATGCGCGGTGCTTAATATGCAGCACAAGTGCAGCGCAGCCTAGTACATACATAACAGCTGCTCCTGTGTTAGCTATATAGATCTATAGCCCTTCGCTCTGCCACAGGCCTGTCACAGCGAAGGGCTATAGGTTGTAGAGCTAGCTACTAGCTACTCCCGTGCTACGCGTCTGCAGCGAAAGCATCACTGCGCGAGACTTGAACTTATCTCATGCTACTATATATCTGTGTATAGGCAGTAAATGTAAAGCAGATGTTTGCTGTTTGCAGAGATCACATGCTGAAATGGCTCAGCGCTGAGCAGGATTTAGCTGTATATGCTAATAAGACGGTGATTAGCATTCTATATATTTCCATAACCGCACACAGACCGCACACAGACCGCACACAGACACACACACAGCACAGTAGACTGTCTCCGTAAGTCGTGTTAGACTGTTAGTGAATCCACCTTGTTGTGTGCCACGTCGGGGACGTTTAGAGTCAGTCTAAGACGTTTAGATTACAGCAAGGCGCAGCTAGTGGCTGCTTCAAAAACGCCGCATCCCTGCTGAATTGCAGGAGGCCATGCAAGTGACTGCAGTTCCGCTGCAATCAGCAGCAAATTGTCTTGCCGCAGGTTGCTGAAAGTGGAGGCGTAATTCCGCTGATGTTTGCAACGGCTGCTGCAGTTGGAAATTTATTCATCAACGGTGATTCATCGGCTGTTGTAATTGAAATAGGAACTGTCAGTGAAACAGATTTGTTGACAGACATTATAATATATGTCTCTTAGGGTTTCTATTTCAGTTAACAGTAAATATAACTGCGGTCACTTTATAAATAGACCTACTTGGCAGTGTTATTGAGACATACATAGTTGCCATGTATTACTCACGCTGCTGTTAGCAATGTCGTGGAAATATTTTTGTCTAATTACCCCATTGTGGACTTGTATATGCAATGTATGTACGTGTTATGCTGGGCTTACACTATTATACAGATATTGTGTGATTAAAATGTCTCTGGAATACTGTCACTGTACTGTCACAATGTCACCATAAAACGAAGGTCCAACCACAATTTCCATCAAATTTAATCTCTTACAGGTTTGTTATTTGATAATGATTATACTCATCGTTTGTAGGTCATAGTATAAAATATATACTTCGCGTTAGATCAAGAGCATGTAACATATTGTTATACATTTTACTTACAGATAACATGTTACTTGGGAAAGAGAGACTTTGTGGATCATCTGACACATATCGACCCAATAGGTAATGACATATACGTTTCAAATTTGCTTTTGCACCTATCATGATACAGAAAAAAGTAGTGCTGGTAGCACTGTGTTGTACTGGGTATGTTATGATGTGCTGGTGGCAGTGTTGTGCTAGCACTGTGTTGTGCTGGGTATGTTATGATGTGCTGGTGTCAGTGTTGTGCTGGTGGCACTGTGTTATGATGTGCTGGTGTCATTATTGTGGTGGTGGCACTGTGTTGTGCTAGCTGTGTTGCTTATAGGCGACAATTGCATCACCGTTAGCTGACTCGATTCAGAATAAGGTTTCCTACCAGTTGGAGGTTTTTTGGCATCATTGCGCAAAGTGGTGACTCATATCAGACAGGAAAGGCAGGAAGGAACGAACGTACTCTAACGTTGAAGTATGTTTGATATGTATGAACAAAGAAGGAATCCAAACTTGTGTGTTAAACTGAATAAACGTTAATATCTGTCACACAGTGTAGTCACATCTTGCACAGAGAAACAATATAAAGAAACGCTCACACGCGCGTAAGCGCGTGTGCTTACTCCCGCGACCACCACCAGACTCCTCGACTCCTACATCTCTGTCGCTTCTCCCGTCTCTCTCATCTCTTCTATATATTACCCCCAAAACCCCTACATCCTGAGCGCACATGTCACCCGTTCTCCCATACCGCGTCCTACCTCCATTTCACAATGACGCTAGAAACGCCCGACCTAAAACACGTTTACCATTCTCCAATCAAGAGCTAATAATACCTAGAGTGTACAACGGAAAAACGGGAAAATAGTGCTATTTCACGACATGATTATTCTACTTTGCCTGCGAGGCTAGAATAATTTTATGGTATTGCATTAAGCAGAATTCTTTGCTCTCTAAAACAAGACCAACCGCTTGTCAATACGATACTCCTAGGCTGAGATATTGGCTCGTAAACTTCCCCTCCCACAGGCCTCACGGCGCCTCGAATCCACATCAGTCAGTATCCTTCTCGCCGCTAAGGTTGCTTCGTGAGAGTTCGGTTTTTCCGCGATAACTTTATGAATGAACGGCTATCATAGGTGACTTTCGGGGGCATCGCCTATGCCTTATCTCCCATTATCTTTCCTAGCACCGCTAATGCCTGTGCATGGAGCCGGCAATGTTTTCTAAATTAAGTCTCTACAACGCAGCTCAGTTACTATATAATGGTGTAGTAAGAGTACCAAATTTGGGCATGTGACATCAATTATCAGCGCTCCAAGCGGTGACGGAAACCGATAGCCAAAATGCTTAGGGGCGAGTAGGGTGCTGACTGATGTGGATTCGAGGCGCCGTGAGGCCTGTGGGAGGGGAAGTTTACGAGCCAATATCTCAGCCTAGGAGTATCGTATTAACAATTATAGCGGTTGGTCTTGTTTTAGAGAGCAAAGAATTCTGCTTAATGGAATACCATAAAATTATTCTAGACTCGCAGGCAAAGTAGAATAATCATGTCGTGAAATAGCACTATTTTCCCGTTTTTCTGTTGTACACTCTGGGTATTATTAGCTCTTGATAACATCAATCTAGCCGCACAAGATGCGCGACGCTCTGTCTACATAGACTACCACTAAAACAACCCTGAGTCTAGCCGCACTCCGCGTCTTAACTAATTTTATGTAACATCTAGTAATCATATGTTACAGTACTACCGCGTATATATATGTATTATTAATGTCAGTATATATATATATATATTATATATATATGCCAGTGGTATCTCTATAGGCTTACTTGTCAGAACGGAGGAATAGCAGCACTATACACGCATAGCTACATGGTTTGTATCAGGAGTACATATTTCTTTGTAACCACTGATCTCTATAGCCTAACTTATATATATATATTATGTAGTATATAGTTGTCCGTGCTTATATCTAATCCATATTTGTGGAAATACTGGCTCCTGCTGCACCGCGCCCCTGCAGCAACAGATAGGTAGATAAATTAGATAGATAGATAGCTACATGATACATAGATAGATAGATGATAGATAGATAGAATAGGCTACATAGACAGAAGATAGATAGATACATGAAAATAGTTAGATACATAGATAGATAGATACATATAGATAGTTAGATACATAGATAGATAGATACATATAGATAGTTAGATACATAGATACATAGGCAATAGATAGATATATAGATAGATATTTTTAGGGTATTTTTCTTTCAACCAAGTGGTCACCAACTGGAGCCACTTCAATTTCTGGCAACGCCGGTGTCCTGCTAGTATATTTTAGCTCATCTGACATGTTCAGATGTAGCCTTGTTAGAATCGCATCGATCGGCGTCCGTCCGTCCCGTCCGTGCCGGTCCGGACCTGCGTGCGTGCCGGCCGTCAACAGTTGGGCATCAAATCTTAACGCTCGACGTTACGGTCCGATATTTGGCCACTCGGGGGGGGGGATCGTCAAAACGAGTTGGAAATGTCGAAGCTGGGGGTCAAAGGTCAAGAGGTGTAAAAAAAGGGGGAAGCATTTTATTCCTGTAACTTAAGTTATAGGGAGGAAATGCAGAATTTGTGGCATCAAATCTAACGGCTCGACCTAGGCTCGTGATACGTCGCGTGTATAAGCCCATGGTAGGAAAAAGCCATCACTGTGCTGAAATTGCGAGTCCACAGGTCAAAGTTCAATGCGGGCACAGGGCAGATTTTAGACATTTTCTGAGAAATGGTCTGACGGAGCGATTGAAAAACTTTTTTTGTTTCAGCGGTGACCTAGCATTTTTATGGCTTTTATTGCAAATGGACCATGAAATGTACGTTCCGGGTGACGCATGCGAAGAGTAAGTGTCGGATAATCTTTGTACCCTCAGAGCGCGGGGTTAAACATGGATTTGTTTCTCTCAACTGCGTTGCGAGTACCTGTGGCGTGTGGAAAGCTACCATTTTACAGTGAAATTCAACCATAACTCTTACTTGAACAACGCTTACTTAGGAGATAATTACATGACTTATATATAAGATTCTGTAGTGTACATAATTATGAATAGTTGGAATACAGTCACTAGCACTCAAATAATTACCCAGGAGTGAGGCTGCGGATTTCCCAGACTTAATTTTCTTTCGCAAGTGTGTACGTTCTTGAGCTTATTCGGTCCACTAATCACTGGCCTACCTTGTACTGAAATTAGTTTAGAGATATTTGCTATCGTATTGCTGTAAATTGTAATCTTGCACGAGCTGCTCTGCCTCTGGTTGTATCAACCATTGAGCTATTTTTAACGAGCCAGATGTGCCTCGCAAGGGGTTTAATTTACCTTATTACCTGACAGCATAGAACGCACGTTATGTATAGTAATAATATGGTAATTATTCGCTGCTGCTTTTTGCAATTCGTCGTCACACTGACAGCTGCCATTGCTGCAATGCTTTTGCTGACCGATGCAACGATGCCTTTGATAGCGGCCCGCCATCTATCGGAATTTTATTACACTAGTTTGAAGTGTTGTTTTTTTGGGTTAGAAATGAACGTATGTATAGGACGTCTTGCTATGCACAAATGAATTTATCAGCAGAACACCAGACACCAGATGAGCCCTGTCGCTCTGCGGCACTTGTATAAGAGTTCTATGAGACGGGAAAATATATCGAGGGTGAGTTTAGATTAGCTTAAGTGCAATTGCTCTACTAGCAATAGTATTATTGTACTGGGAAAGGTTGTTGTTTTCTCTGCTCCGGCATTGTAGAATCGTAGAGTTGTAAAGTTGTTGATCTCCGCTCCGGCATCGTAGCAGCGTCGAGTTAGCAAATGGTAGCAGGTTGTAGCAAGGAGGAAAGATGATGTAGTCGCAGAATTTGCTCTTGCAGACTGACTTAATTTATTAGAAAACACAATACAAATAAATATACACTACGGCGACCTAGGCACCCAAGCCTATAGGCCCCGTGTCTCGACTTCGTCCGCTACATCTTGATAGGAAAGTCCGTACTCACGTACGTCTTCTGGGTAGGTAACTTTCTGATCTTTCGTCCGGTGTCTATTTATATGTTACCGAAAACCGCCCGGCGACATTTCAATCCGAACCCCGGCCAATCACCGTCTGGGTCTATGGGGTTAGGGTGCACGCGGTGGGTTATACATTACAATAACAACAATGACTTGCTAGGGTTAGAAGTTTAGACAATTAGTCGCAAAGCCCTAATTAGCCCGCAGCCCTACGATACAACAATCCTTCCTTCCCTCTCGAAATAATTCGTGTCCCCACGAAAATACAGTTATACATAAAAAAAACATTAACGTTAAAGCATAAAGCCTAGCGCACACACCCGAGCAAAACACCCTGAACGTGGCGCAAAACGTGTTTCGCTCGATGTTCGTGGCTGTGTGCGGATTCCCGAAACAAAAAACATTGCTCAGCTGAGCGTGTTTCGCTGAACAAGCAATGTTTGATTCGCGGAACGTGTTTTCGCCTGAGCATACGTTTTGCTCGGGTGTGTGCGCCAAACGTTCTGCTACACAGCGAAACGCCACAGACGGTCTCCAATCAATATCCTTAAAAATATCACATGACACACAACATTGGATGTCCATTGGATGGCTATTTTGGATGTCATGTGACAGCGGCGCTGTACGCAGTGTTTCTGAATGTTTTTATCAGCTGTGTGCTGTGTCGGGTGGCGTGTGTGCGCTTGCTCGCCGAGCAGATCGAACGCGAAACGCTGGAAAACAAAATTTCCCGTTTTGCTCGGGTGTGTGCGCTAGGCTTAAGTCTAAAGCACAACGCACACACCCGAGCAAAACGCGAAATTTTGTTTTGCTGAACAATCAAACATTGCTTGTTCAGCGAAACACGCTCAGCTGAGCAATGTTTCTTGTTTCGGGAATCCGCAGACAGCCACGAACATCGAGAGAAACATGTTTTGCTCCACGTTCCGGTACGTGTTTTGCTCGGGTGTGTGCGTTGGGCTTAAGGCTGCAACATCAAACAGTGTCATGATGGTGAGGTAAATCCTTGAGGTCCGAGAAGGGATGGAAA